CTTTAAGTTGAATTATTTTTTAAATATTTCGTTATTTTATAATTCTCTATTAAAATTCGTCTTAAGTTGAATTATTTTTTAAATGATATTTTACTATTTTCCTAATTCTCTATTAAAATCCATCTTAAGTTGAATTGTCTTTCTTTTTTTTTTTTTAGGATAACAAAACTTCGTGAAGTTGGTCTGGTACATCGTTTGAAAAATCGCTGGCTGCAATTTACAATCAACAACAACGCCAGGAGTCCTTTCAAGACGATCGACATGGATCAAGTTCGCTTAATTTTCATAATGCTTCTTTACGGTACTCTTCTTTCTCTCGTAGTATTTCTAATCGAAAAGATAATGTTCCTCCTCAAAGAGGAAACATGAAATATTTGAACGATATCAATAAAGTGTGGAAACTTAACATTCATTTCTTTCCTTTACCTTAATTAACGAAACAAATGAAATAAATGAAACTGTTGTTGCAATTATTTGCCCTTGCAAATCTCCTTAAAACGACGAATAAAACGATTCTTAACTGCCATTGCAATTATTATTACAAATCGGAAATTCTTAAATACTCAATCTTTAATTACTTTATCTTAAATGCAGAAATAATTGTTACTAATTTACCTATCAATCCTCTTTACACCTAATTTATCCTTGCAAACTTTCCCTTCGATGCAAAATTCTTATCGCAAATTCGAAGTTCTTAAGTAACACATTTTCCCATTACTTTATTATTACTCTAATTAATTTGCCCGTGCAAATCTCCTTAAAACGACGAATAAAACGATTCTTAACTGCCATTGCAATTATTATTGCAAACTGGAAATTCTCAATTCCAAATTTCCTCACAATGATCGATAATACCAATAAAAACCTAACCTAACCTGTTCATCGACAACTCTACTGTTCATTATTCTTACTACTCTCGACAATTCGTCAATCTTAATAAACATCTTCGAAAATATCACCGTGCTGCAGAAGAAAATTCGAATTTCTCGATATTCGCGGTTACACCGTGTTAGGACAGCAAGGGGACGATTTTATGATACGTGATTTCTAGTTCAGCAAACCGTTATTTTAATTTAGCAGACCGGTCTGCAGCCAACATGCGACACGTAGAATTTCTCAAATATTAAAGAATAGGCTATTGTTCAGTCAGTAAGGCAAGGTATCATAAAGTCACCCCCAAAGGGTCTTCGACACCGATGCAATTACCGAGGCCTCTCGGTACCTGTCCTTCCGAACGAGTCGGAGAGTCAGAGTTGACCTGACCGGGTTTTCCCCCCTTGTCGTCAAATTTCCATCCAGCAAGGACCAGTTTCGTCACTCCAGCTCCAAGGATATGACGCGCTCCGGGCGCAATGGAAGCGGTGATACGGGGTTGGTCACTTAGTAATTTTAAGAACCTCCCTTCGCGTCCCTTCTTCAAATTTTCGAAGATTTGGAGAAGGGACGACTCGATAAGAAGGCCGACTTAGCTTAAGACCACAGAGTGTTAATACACAGACCATCAGTTACATTAGGAATCTTAAAGATTCAGTCAGACTCTCAACGCAATACATTCAGTCTTCAGACGGCACCTAGTGCAATATTCCAAGTACGCGGAAATTAGTACCCGAGTGCTTAACACACCGGGAAGCATAAATTTCTTAATACCGACTCTGGAGGAGCCTCGTTTCAAGCGTCGCCATCAATCACCATAAAATCTCATTTCCTCCAGTCGTTTTTCCATCAACGACGCGATGCATCAAAACGTAAACTGGACCTATCTACACCGCAAAACGCATTACCACTGCTGACCTAAATCCCAAATACGTTTCCGTGTTACGATGATTTATCGGCACAACGTTGCGCCGTTTCGCGTCGACGCATCATGGAAACGCGAGATCGTGGATCGCGATACCACTTAGCTTTGCAAACACAGACCGGGCCGATAACGATGCGGCACAATTCGTTGTTCCTTCGAACGTTTAAACCCGAGTAATTCAACAAATGGCGTACAATTATTTCCATTAACTCGGTGCATGTAATCGTAATCGTGATAATGTGTGCACAGTAACGTCTAATTATAGAGATCTCCGCTGATAAGATATCGATTCTTTTACGAAAGAAACCTTGAAATCGTACGATTTGCACGGAAATATCGACGAGAATTGTTTCAGAGAAAAAAAAAAAGGAGAAGTAATTTGTAAGATATTTTGGATTTATGTTAAATTCGAATGGATGTTCAAAAATTCACTCTGAATGAAATTAAGTTGAGTAACAAGTGTTTTCTTTGAGATGTTAAATTTGATATTACACTCTTCTTTTTTTTTGAGAGAATGAAAAATTGACTTGAAGCGAAGGAAGACTGACATAATCACTTTTACTTGGAAAACGAAAAATTTTTGGAAATGTAATTGGTAATTTTTTCGTTTTGAGGTTATGTAGACCTTTTGATATTTTGCAAAAATGGTTAGACATTATTGTAATATGTGTGAGTCACAAATTTAATAGGAAATAAGAAATAAATCCGATATATTTAGATTTTTTAATTGGATCACTTTCATAAATAAACCAATTATTACTCTCCGCGTCGTAATAATTACTACAACAATTACTCTCAAAGCACCAAAAAAGTATTACCAATCATCTCTCGTAAATCGATTCATTTTTCCCGCTAAAAATTCAACTGCAACTATACAAAAATCGAACAAACGTATATTAAAATGCGTATCGTTGATTTTTAATTAACGAGTGAAATACACTTTACGAAGCAATTTCACCGAGTTGATCAACTGACACCAACATTGTGACGAAATTGCGAAAGGAAGAAACGCGAAGTAAGATTTCGATCAATTTGTCGTTAATTATGCCACATTATACCGTCCGTTGGCGCGATATTATCAGCAGCATCACTGTAATGAAAACTAATTTGGACAATCATGATCAAACGAACGTCGTTAATGGAAGTAAAGAAACGCTGCCATTGTAACTTCTCTCGCTGTACGATTCTACAGGTTTCTACCTTTATGAGAGAATTATTGTTGCTCGTGATAGTTCACGATCTACTGAGACCTGTTCAATCCGTGAACGGTGTAATATGGGACAGCAAAGTCGAGGATTTCGTGCCGATTTTCAGTGTACCGGGCTTCGCAGCCATGAATCAAGAACGCCTGAGTAAAAGTCGGAAACAGGAAACGCATAATTTCCAAGGGGAAATCGTTAAGTTCGCTTATTTCGAGGTAAAAACTTCACTTTTCTGTGTTATTTTTTTTTTTTTTTAG